TTCCCTTTCCGATTTTGTGCTTTACTCAACGTCAGCCATCTCAGAACTGATGTTGGGATCTTTTTTACACAAGACTGAACACGTTTTTTGTCTTTAAAAAGTTTAACATTTTACTGCCTCTGAAGAAGCTCATCTTTTGTATTATATTTGCAATAAAAGTGAGAATAAAACATAAAACAGACACCTACGGCTTGTTATTGTCTCATAATCTGCGTCTAGTTACGCTTCTACATGAATATGTATGGTTTGTGTTTAGCCTTAGGGGGTGGAATGTCTTCAGTAATGACGAACGTTCGTTTTCTTGTGCAAGCACTGCCTCCCTCTCGCAGATGAAACAGCAGGAGGGCCTTATAGTTAGCACATTATAACACTCGTATTGTTCGTGTGAAAACGGAAAGAAAGTTTGGTTTTCCTATGTGGTTCCCTAGGTTTGTTCCTCTAAACGGTCAGCAAAGGGAAATATCGACAAGCCTGTCATGCCAAAGACATCATGTTCTACTGATTTATTGTCATTTTCAGCTCTGTTTTGCGATTGCGTCATCTGTGCTGGTGTGTAATTACAAAACCAGAAACAACAAACATCTTCTGGCTTTAACACTGTAGAATCGTCAATTTACAAATGGCACAGTAGTGATACTGAACGTACCGTCATGTTTCGCACCAGGGTTTCTCTGATTGCAGTCACGTTCCATTATAAGCTCAATAAAAAACAGCATTCCCTTTGTAAACAGCATTAATAAACATCTAATTCATATGTGAAGGAGAGACAACAAGAACAGCAGCCCACAGCGATCCAGTGGAGGGTCAGAGGTCTATTGGTCCCAGCTGTTTCAATACAGGGCCAGTTTTAAATTATTATGCCCACAAAACTAACATTTACTCAGGATATGAGATGGGACATTTCTGTGTAAAATATGCACAAACCGCAAAATTACTTAACTCTCTCTTGATTGGGAAATGTCCTTGAAAACCATCTATCCATCCATCCATCCATCCATCCATATATCTATCCATCCATCCATCCATCCATCCATCCATCCATCCATCCATCCATCCATCCATCCATCCATCCATCCATCCATCCATCCAACCAACCAACCATCCATCCATCCATCCATCCATCCATCCATCCATCCATCTATCTATCTATCCATCCATCCATCCATCCATCCATCCATCCATCCATCCATATATCTATCTATCCATCCATCCATCTATCTATCTATCCAACCATCCATATATCTATCTATCTATCCATCCATCTATCTATCTATCCAACCATCCAACCATCCATATATCTATCTATCCATCCATCCATCCATCCATCCATATATCTATCTATCTATCTATCTATCTATCTATCTATCTATCTATCTATCTATCTATCTATCTATCTATCTATCTATCTATCTATCTATCTATCTATCTATCTATCTATCTATCTATCTATCTATCTATCTATCTATCTATCTATCTATCTATCTATCTATCTATCTATCTATCTATCTATCTATCTATCTATCTATCTATCTATCTATCTATCTATCTATCTATCTATCTATCTATCTATCTATCTATCTATCTATCTATCTATCTATCTATCTATCTATCTATCTATCTATCTATCTATCTATCTATCTATCTATCTATCTATCTATCTATCTATCTATCTATCTATCTATCTATCTATCTATCTATCTATCTATCTATCTATCTATCTATCTATCTATCTATCTATCTATCTATCTATCTATCTATCTATCTATCTATCTATCTATCTATCTATCTATCTATCTATCTATCTATCTATCTATCTATCTATCTATCTATCTATCTATCCAACCATCCATATATCTATATATCTATCCATCCATCCATCTATCCATATATCTATATATCTATCCATCCATCCAACCATCCATCCATCTATCTATCTATCCATCCAACCATCCATCTATCTATCTATCATCCATCCAACCATCCAACCATCCATCCATCCATCCATCCATCCATCTATCTATCTATCTATCTATCTATCTATCTATCATCCATCCATCCATCCATCCAT